AAAAATCCTGAGAACAAAATGAATTTACGAGAAATAGTGAAAAGATCGGAATCTATGAGTCCGAGGTACGAAAAAGATTGGGAGCAATTATCCCATAGATTTAGTTCAGAAGAGAATATTATTGATATTGATAAATTAAGTGTTAGTTCGTTAACGAGGTCAGATTCAAAATCTCTCCTTGAAAGACCAGAGAAAGAAATCAACCAGAGCCAATCAGGTAATCAAAAAGAGCTCCTGTTAAACGGTGGAGGGTCTATGTTTTTGAAGAGTACCCGAAGTCGTGATAATACACCAAATCAAGACGGAGGAAAATTTCATGACTTCCACATCAGTCATGGTACATCAGGCACAAATGATACCAGTGATATAACTGAAAGACCGAAATCTATCCTCCGTGAAAAACCCTGTGAAGATGGTGAGTGATGATCGCCTAGATGTCCAATCACCAAAGGAATGAAGTAGAACAATCGCACGTTTTTCTAAGTTCCGTAGTACCTATAACATCCAAGATCGTGTATTACACTAGTATAAACCTATATTTGTGCAACATCTTTTCTATAGCGCATGAAACCACCTGTTGTGCTATTTGATTGAAATCTCTTCTCACAATTGGTGTCTGATAGAACTCTCCTACTATTTCAGACGATCGACATACAGAAGAAGAGCGTAAAAGCGTACGTTTCGATCTCGAAAAAGGTTTGGAAGACATGAAATTTATGTATTCTGGTTCAGAAGATAATGACAGGGATTCAGATTCTAACGATAAGCAGTCATCTTCTAGAGCATTGAAGGCAAACTTAAGATTAGACGATCTGACACTTGAACGTTCTGACTTATTTCATATTAATGTGAATAATTTCCAGAATGATTATCTGAGTGAAGATATTTCTTCTTCAAATCGGAATCCACCTGCAAAACTTGTGGGCCGAAGATTTCTTGTTCAGAATGTATCCGAAGTCGAGCATATGAACCAACTTCTCGCTGATGATCTCCATGATGAACGTTTACCTATCAATAAATTTACTAATATTAAAAATATTGATTTGATTCCCAATACTGGCAATAGCAGTTCATTGCGCGACTCCAGTAAAAGAGAAAATCAATCAGAAGAGGATGAACTATCTATTGATGTAGATAAAATATTGCCACAAACTAGAGATGAAGGCGACGATGTCGTCAATCAAATATTGATAGAACAAGAAGCGGAAATTACGAATGTAAAAAAAGTATTTGAAAACCAATTGGCTAATAGAAGGAAAGAATTGGAAATCCACTTTAA